TTCTTCCTTCATTATGTTTCTATACAATTTCAAGTTAACATCTTTACGAAACCGGTTTTATCGAAATGAAACATTTTTGAAGACATGATTTTACCATTGCACTAATTCACCCCCCTGCCGCTCTGGATCCTAACATAAAAATGCTTAAGAGAGATCAAGTCTTTCAATTTTTGGCATATTTAAATAAAGAACTAAACAAAGTGGTGGATGGATATTGAAGAAATATTCATTGTTACTATATTCTCTGAAGTTAAGGAGGGTGGAAAATGGAAGATAAGTTATGATGGGATCTTCTACTCCATCTATGGTTGTAGAAAATTTTATACTTATTATGATAGCTGAAATTAATTCTTCTACTAATGCTGTGCAGCATAATCAGTGAAAGAGAGATGATAAAAGCAAAGTGGTATGATTTTTGTCATTGACCAAGACACACAAGATAAACTTGCTAGAAGATACATGAAAAACTAGCAAACTCGAAGAGCAATTAAGTTCCAAATAAGGCTAATATCCAAGAATTTCAAGTAGATAATCAATCTACCATCACCTCTAACGGAGTTGAAATACCTCTATTCAGTAACGAACAAATTGAGCAAATATTTAAGTTTCTGAACCAATCCCAAAATCCTAATCATTCTCCTTCATCATCTTGCTCTTTGGCTAAGAAAGGCAATTGTTTCATAACTTTGTTTGCTTTTTTTTGGTCTTAAGGCTCCTTGGATTATAGATTCAGATGTAATAGATCATTTGACTAGCCTTTTACACTTGTTTTCCTCCTATATACTTTATCCTAGAAACTCTAAAATAAAAATTATTGGTGAATCACTTTTTTTTTAGCAAAAAAGGTGCAATTATAATTTTTGATTCCTTTGTATTAAATTTTGCGCTGTAACCTATTGTCATGTAACCTGTATTATAATTATAACTTGTCATGTAACCTATTGTCTATTAGCAAACTCACAAAGAATTTGCATTGTATTGCTAATTTTTTTCTTATTCACTGTGAATTTCAGAACTTACATTTAGGGAAGACAATTGACAGTGCTAAAGAGAGTAAAAGACTTATTATCTTGAAGAGGCTGCTACTTGAAATGGACAAGCTCAGTTGAGAATAAATAATAACACTCATACTAGTGAAATAATGTTATATAGCCATATAGATTGGGCCACCCAAGCTTTTCTTATTTGCAAAAGTCTTTAGCTTCATTATTCAGAAATAATAATAGATCTCTTTCTCAATGTAAAATTTGTTAATTTGTAAAACACCATCACACTATTTTTCCTTCTCAATGTTTATTGATGACAAGAGTATGTTGAGTTTACCTCTTAAAAGAAATCCTTGATACTAAATAAGCTTTTAAGTATTTTCATATTATGATCCAAAATCAATTCCAAACAAAAATATAAGTTTTGAGAACTGACAATGGTAGATAATACTTGAATATTATTTTCAGTTCCTTCTTCTAAGAGTATAGAATAATCTACCAATCTTTATGTATTGATAGCCCTCAATAATATGGTATTACAGAATGAAAAAATAGGCACCTACTTGAAGTAGCACTTACTCTTTTATTTACCACTTATGTTCACAAATATCTTTGGGGAGATTTCGTTCTTACTATTTCATATTTGATTAATTGAATGCTTACCAAATATTTAATTTTCAAACACATGTTGGTCATTTTTCTTTACTTATTCACATATAAACCTATTTAACTCTCGTTCACTAAGATATTTGGGTGCATTGTTTGTATCCATATTCATAACTATCATCGAAGTAAATTTGAACCTCATGCACTAAATTGTATATTACTTGGTTACTCTCCGACTCATAAGGGTTATAAATATTATGATCCTATATTGAAAAAAATATTTATCACTATGGATATTGTATTCTTTGAAAATCAAATATATTTCTAAAAGACTTATTACTAAGAAGAGTATTTTTGAGAATTATCTCTATCAATCCCTATTTTTTTGTCAAATTTATCTCTTACTTTCACTCTACTAAACCTACTTAGCTAACAACTAACTAGTCCTATTAATACTCTTGAATCAAAATCTCTAACACTATAACTAAAGGAGAGATATCATTGTGATTGCACCTGAGCTTCATATGTATTCAAAGCAATGAAATATAGAAAAAGGATGATGATCACCCTCCCGAGTGCTGGCAAAAATCTAAACCGATGACTGATCCAGACATAGATACAAGTTATTCCTTTCTCAGATCTTAATATTTCTATTATGAATAGAAATGGAATTAGATCTTGTATAATGCATCCAATGTCTAAATATGTGTCCTATTGATAGCCTTTAAGGCTTCTATAACTCACTCATCTGGTTTAGAAATTAAAAGTATACAAGATGTTATATTAATTCCATAATAGAAAGAGATAGTGATGAGCGAGATAAGAGCTCTAAAAGAATGATACTTAGAGTTTGATGCATCTGGGGAAGAATCTAGTGGAATGTAAACGAGTATTTACTATTAAATATAAGATATATGATTCTATTGAAAAATACAAAACCAAATGGGTTGCAAAAGTATTTACTCAAACATATGGTATTGACTACTAAAAAGAATTTGCTCCTATTGCAAAAATTAAATACTATTTGAGTATTGTTATCCCTTATAGCTAATTTTGAATGACTTTTACATCAATTAAATTTAAAAAATATCTTTCTTAATGGAGAATTGGGGAAAGAAGTATACATGAAGTATACCCGGGTTTGAAAATTTGTATAGCTCGAATAATGTGTATAGCTTGAAAATTTGCAAGCTGAGAAGACCTATTTATAGTCTCAAACAATCAGCATATGCATGATTTGAGAGGTTCACAAGATTAGTTAATGGCCATGTTCTATAAATACTCATATAATAGAGATATTACTATTTTTATAGTTTATGTGAATAATATTATCCTAATAAGCAATGATATCTCATAATTGAAATTGAGGCATATCCTAGCTAAAGAGTTTGAAAGTAAATATCTTGGTCGACTAAGATATATCTTAGGTAGGAAAATAGCGATATCAAAGAATAAGATATTTGTTTCACAAAAAAAATATATTTATCTCATACTTGCTTAGATTTGACATTTGTAGTGAATGTAGTAAGTCATGCATTCACCATATGAACAATATTTAGAAATAGTATATAGGATCCTTGGATATTTGAAAAGTACTCCGGAGTAAGAATTGTTATTCAAAAACGATAATCATATGATAATTGAGGTCTTCATTGATGTTGATTAGGCAAGATTAATAAGCAATAGGAGATCAACTTCAAGATATTATACATTTGTTGGAGGTAATTTGGTAACTTGAAGAGCAGCAGCACAAGGTGTTTGTTAGCTCTTGTGGCTAAAAATGCTTCTAAAAAAAATATGAATACCCACTAAAACTCTTATGAGACTTTTATGTAACAATAAGATTGCTACTAATATTACTCATAATCTATTATACCATGAGAAAACAATGCATGTTGAAGTAGATTGACATTTCATAAAGAAAAAAAGTGAAAAAAGAATTATCTATATATCTTATATTCTATAGAGAAGCAACTAGCATATATTCTTACCAATGAGTCTTAAATATCATTTTATTATGAGAATCTAACTAGTAAGTTGGGAATAAATGACATATTCGAGCCAGTTTGAGGAATAGTGTAAAAAATCTCATGATTAAGGGATTTCAAATCCCATTATTAAGGTATTTTATAATCTCATAATTAAGGATATCTATCTCTTATTTTTGGCCACTTAATCAGTTTCAAATTAGCTGATATTATAGGAAATGAATCAGAATGAAATATTATATAAAATTAATTATCTTAATTATATAGTTTGCAATCAGCTTATATATGTTTTTCTTTATACGTAGAAAAGATTAATGAATGAAAAAAATATATTATCTTTTGTTCACTTGATTGAATTATGATTTAGGTGTGCAAGAGATGAAGCCTGAGTTGGAAAGCATCAAGCTGACTAACGGTGGCGGGGAAGGTGGATCACTAGAAGCTCCGAGATGCAAAAGATGGACCTTGTCTCCCCAATTAAGAAGCTCGGTGCTATCGCTCAAAAAGCCTATCGATAAAAAAGCCAAAGAGGTATGTGTCATCTTCTACATTTGTTACAAGCCCTTTCGCATTAACATATTTCCTTTCATATATTATAGATGTACATATTTGTTGATTGTTTTATGCAACTTAAGGCGACGACGACAGTACTCAATATTTCATTACGCTGCCACTGCCACTAGTAATATAGAAAACGACGACAGTGACGAATGATTTCTTCCTATGACTGTTATTATTGCTGCCTTTGTTGGATGTGAGTTTGGGATCCGATTTGCAAGCACCAATGTCATTCTAGCATCAACAACAGAGGTGGTCTTCGAGTTGCCTTCCATGGTCCGATCGAAAGTTATCTTCGCTTCCTGACAATTGGAGACCAATCTCTTCCTCCTCGAAGCTTTTCAGTGGCTTGGACGTCGACCTAGGAGATGAAGACATCTACTGCTTGTCACTTGACATGGAAACTTCCAAAGCTTCCTCACAAAGCTACTTCCAAAGCTTCCTCGCAAAAGCTTTGTTGAGGCCTCAGGGTCAACCAAGAGCTCAACTATGTCCCAACCATTTTGCCATCCTACCTTGATGGTGAGTTCCCCGACAACCACGGTTGAAATAATTATTTTGCCATTAATCAAAGTACTCAACGATTCATTCTATTAATTAATGGGTGAAATAATTATTTTGCCATTCATTTAATCATCAATTCCGCATGTGATGTCACATGTAGAGGAGATCTTTGTCAAAGAAGTGACATAATTAAAAACGGACTAAATTATAATAATATCAAAACTATAAAGACCCAAATGTGTGATTTTTAAAAGTTCAAGAACCTTGATGCCGCAATAGCCAATTACAGGAGTAATTAGCCCAGCAGAAATATGATCCTAACAGAACTTGCATTGGTAAAAGATGAGGAAGCATATAGTGGATCAATGCAAAGTTTTTTTTATTGAAGAGCTGATGCAGGTCTCTCATGACCCTATCCATGGATAATCTATAGACATTATTAGGAGACTCGGGAATGTGCAACTTAAACCGTGCAGAATAAATATTTAGTTACTAAAGCATAATACAAGACGAGAGGCTAGGATCTCCCATGGAAATATAACTTTTGAAATCGTTAGACGTTTCTTATGTCTAATGTACCAGATCGTAACCTCGAAGAAATGTGACGAATCATATTTGGACAAACACTATTTCTATGATCAAGTTGAGCATACTTGTTTATTCCTGTGGCCGAGCAAGCCACAGAGAGCTCAATGCACGGAGCCTCGAGAAATAGTCATGTATGGCTAGAAGTGCACGAGCAGACTGGCGAGTTGTTAATATGCGCTGCAGTTGTTGTAGTGTCTGCTGGCGCAGGTTGTCAGCCTGAAAACGAAAATAGATAGCTATATAAAACATAAATATAAAAAAAAAACAATAATTGATTGAGGCAGAGGTGAATCATCAAAAACCTGGCATAGAAAATTTTCGAGGGTCCCAAGTTTGCCCATGGCCATTGCCATCTGACCCATGTAATTCGCAATGTTCCCCGATGATCCTGCAGACCCAAGAGATCCAGAAACCAAAGTTTCGGACAGCGACTGCTGTAGCGCTTCCATCCCTTGCGAAAGAGCATCCTCCGCCTGCTGCGAGGATTGCTGCAAGTTGCATATCCCGACCAACTGCTGCTCGGCAAGAGGTTCCAAATGACTTGCAAGTAACTGCAAATGTAACACCCAGTTGGCACAAAGCTAAATAGGCAAAAGTAGATCCCCCAAAAAAATGCTGTAACTATTGCCATATACCAGATTAACATGCAAAAAAAAAAGAAACATGCTGCGAACATTCAGATGATTGAACCAAAATCCTTTGTGAATTCCAGATTGAGAAAGAAGCGTCGATACCGGATAATGAACAAACTGCAGATAGAATCATACACTTTTTTCTTTTGTTTATTTCTTTATTTTGTAAGAAAAAATGTTGGTTGCACAACAAAGTCTACCAATGTGTAACAGAGTAGAAGTACATCTCTGCATAGAACTTGGAAAATGACATTTTAAATGTTGGAACTTAGGCTTCAAAGTAACCTTTTCAAAAGGTTAAACTTGCCAGGCCTGTGACTTGTGGCTAAAGAAAATATTTCATCTGACAAGACAAATCATATGACAAGCATTTAACAAGAATAGTCTGAACCAATAAGTTTGCACTACATGTGGAAAACAATCCGAACTTGTATCTGCAGCATAGTTGAACCTTGCTCGATAAGTACTCCAGAATTCAGGAGAACCAATGGAAAGACTAAAGAGAAGAAATTTTATAACACCTAAAAGCTATGAAATTTTAAATTTCAGAATGAAAATATGAAGTTAACAGAATTTAAGAGTAGGATCACATGTAAAGCACACAATAAAACGGGTAACTTAGAAAAAGATGAGATCCTAGGGAAAAGTTCACTAAATTTAACTACAAAAACCACCATTTTTTAAATTTATAAGGCTTTTCACTTTTTCATGCAGCGTATTGTATCTTTTATGACAATCTCCAAAATTATCTACAGGTTTCCCTATTGGACACAATCAGTTATTTCTATGCTGTAAGCAACGTAGGAAAAGGACACTGAAACAGAAAAATTGCACCTTCAGGAGCTCAGATGACCGGAAGCCCCCCAACCACAGAAAACACCTCTCTGCAGGCATCATCCACATTCCCGAGAGGATATGAAAAACATCTGCCTTGGCTGCCACACTCTTGATACGAAAAAGTTTATCATAATGCTTCATAACATCATCAACAATGACTCGAAGAACATCATCACTAGCATGTGAATTTGCTGCAGCCCTCAGCTCTTTAGCCTGCTGGTTTTGCTCTTCCAGCCAACGTGCATATTCCATGTCAAATGCTAGAGCTCCTGCAGGTTTAATAATAAAATATATAACGAGTACTGACATGGTAATGTTCAAACCATATCTAATGAAACTAATATGGGCTATGTAGCAAAATATCATGTTTTTTCCCCTTATTCATTTGGACTTAATAAATTTAACCACCAAAGAAACCACAAGCTCTGAATATTCCATCAAGGGTAAAGACTAGCCAGGTTGGTAGAGGTGTATCATCAGCCCTACCCAAGTAATGGAACTTTCAACCAAAGCCCAAATCAACTGCACTTGGAAAAAAAACCTTTTTTCCCTTATAGCAAATAATTAATTATAATAATTTTACAACCTGCACTTAAAGATGTATCATCAACCCTACCCAAGTAATGAAACTTTTAACCCAAGCCCAATTCAACTGCACTTAGAAAAATATCAAGCTTTTCTTTCCTTTGTAACAAAGAATTGATTATACATCTCATTTGGACTAAATAAATTTAGCAAACAAAGAAATCATAATGAGCTAATTATCAAGGGTAAAGACTATGCAGGTTGATTGGGTAGACAATATCATCAGCCCTAACCAAGTAATGAAACTTTCGACCCAAGCCTATTCCAACAGAGTCAACATTCAACACAAACCAACCTAACTTCAAATTCAGGAGATCAGTTTGGAAATCATGTTTGATCAGATTGGACTGCTTCAGATTAACCAGTCAACGATGGATAAGGACAGAAACATTCTAGAAGATAACACTGATGAAAAATTCAAATTTGGAACATTAAAAAAATTTAAAAAAAAACTGAATGATATAATATCTAATTGCTTGTATTATCCAAAATTCAAACTTGCTAGACAAGGAAACAAGATGGTACTGTAAGTTCTACAAACATAGCAAATCATATTACATTTGAATAATAAATCATAACAAAAATACCGATAGACCATAAAAACAAAGTAAAGAGGAAAAAAAGAGGGATAAGATCCTGTCAAAGTTAGTTGGATAGAAGAGTTGACCCCAATATCTGAATCTTCTGGGTAGAAGATCCGTCACTCCCAGAAAAAGACTAACTCCAAGAGAGAGCAGTTCCAAGGTTGGAGGAAGAAGAAAGGTGTTGTGACAACTTTTGGGACTTGAGAATTAGGATTTAGGAAGATGAAATGATGAAATTTGACTTTTTTAATTAATCTGCATATATATATATATATATATATATATATATATATATATATATGTGTGTGTGTGTGTGTGTGTGTGTGTGTGTGTGTGTGTGTGTGTGTGTGTGTGTATAGATATTGTAAATGAGTATATACTGAATCCCATGTAAATGAGCATACATGTAAACCTAAGTATAGATGTATAAATCTGGATGAGGTTGCCTTACACCACAACCCAAGGTCAGCCTCCATTTTTAAGTCAGTTTGATTTGCTTTATCCAAACCTAATTTAAGACTCTTGAATTACGAAGTATAAAAATTCAAACAAAAACTGCTCATTGGTCAAGTTGATTTAAAGGTTTACACACTTGAGTTGCAGCATTATATGCATGATCCTCCAAAAACAAAGGGAATTTGAAAAAGATATTTAATTTTTTTAAAAAGAAGTTATTTTCTAAATACATCTAACACTGCCAACTACATAATCATGCAAGATCCATGATAGTTCACATATCATCCCCATTTAAAAGATCATTTTATGTTTGAAGGCAGATTGCCCATATTAATAAGACATATCTCAGTGAATGAGATTAGAGATTCTTATAGTGTACCATTTCCACCCATTGAATGCGACTGATCTCCAGAGCTCGAAATGAAGATGCCCTAGACAAGCAATGATCATGTAATGAAGACCAAATATATTAAACCTGTTCAACAGAAATGCAAACGGAAAGATCAGATACAGTTGGAAATAATAATAGTTCCATACCTGTTGGCGAGCTCGCTGAAGCTCTTGTTCAAGTTTATTGAGCGTCAAATTGCTACTCTCTAGTTGTTGAATGTATGCCTAATGGAGAAATAACAGCATTTGTTCAATAATGCAGCAACTAACTATGGTTAATGGACAGTTAATCCAACTTCCAGATGAAACAAATACCAGAAATTAAACATTAACACCTAATACCTATGTTTAAAATTACATCAGCATATGCAAAAAATAAAATATGTGAAACACTGAATCTAACCATGTCCGCTATTTGACAATTTTGGTTGACTATACTTAACATGGTTAACATAAATGAGTATACATGTCAAGATATTGAATGATAATGTTGGACAGATTTATGCGGTTGATATTTCATCTAATCTTGATATGAGGCATTAAATATGATATTTTGGTATTATAAATTCTTTTATAAGAATAAATCATTTTTTATGGTACTTTTATTAAAATTTTCGAATTTCTTTATGAATTCTTTTTTGTTCTTTGTTTTTCTCTTTAAGAGCTTCTTGTTATAGCTGCTATAGCTGTGACTTCTGCAATTACAGCATTGTAGAAGCATTTCATGCTGTCAAGGAAGTGTCCAATGCTCAATCTTTTTCTGAATTTCATATGTGTTATTGGGATTTAAGTCATATCACCTTAGTTCTAGATGAAATTCATTTTTTTTCTGCTTCTATATATTCCAAATTTGTAGCCCTAGAGAGTGGACACCGATTTCACAATTTTTATTCCATTTTCTTAAGTTTCTACCCTATTTGTTAGCCCCTTTTTTAGGAAACTCAAACTTGTTTTGGGTTGGGAATGAATGAAATTTTCTTACGGTAATATGGGAAAGAATTTGGTGGTACCATTGGACTGTTAATTTGAAATCCTATATGCTGATACTTTTTGGACATTATTACTCCTATTTGGCACACTTTTCATAATTTCCTCAAAGTATGGAATTGGCTTAAACATATCAATTTAGTATCTTCTTCGAAACTAGCAACTAGACAAATTTATTTCTATGAATTTTCCTTTTGTAAACCCTACTCTCTGAAGTGAACTTTTCTAGACTTGACCCTTGAATTTCCCTTAATTATGTACCCTAAATTGACTCCAGACCTTTTGGATAAGGTAAGTGGTGTGATGTTCACTTTAGAGTATTTTATTATGGTTTTATAATAAAAATGTAAGGTTATTATCAAACCTTACTTTGATATGAAATCTAAACTCAATAGATTGAGCAAGGTATATTGGATATGGATAGAATACTTACCTATGGTCATATACCATCATTATATATTAAGGAAAGAAATAATAAAAAATAAATGTTGATCTTTATTTTTATTAAACTATATGGTCCAAGACTGTCCCTTGGTTAAAACCCTAAATGTTTATCAATACACACTGGTCAAGCCACCATTTGAAACATTGATACTGAGAATTTGTCTTCTTAATAACAATGTTATGTAAAGATGATGAATATTTTGATATTATAGCTTGATAAATTATTCCCTAATATGATGGATCAAGGATGACACCTTGTTAGCTATGCTTATATGCTAAGTTCCTTAATTTTAAAAAATTCTATGAATGTTCCAGGCTTACTTTTAGTATATCTGTCAAAAGTGGGAAGACTTGTGCATGCTTATGCATTCAAGATATTTTGAGTATGCCTAAACTCTACATTCTGCAAGAGGAAGCTTTGAGTGGTGACATTTGACCATTAGTTGAATGTGTAATCCTATACAGGTGGTACTTTTGGAGAAAAATGGAAATATATCTGAGATTGGGCAGGACAATACTACCAGAAGTACTAGTCCATATGATTTTCGAAAGTGACAATACAGGTGGTACTTTTGGAGAAATATGGAAATATATCTGAGATTGGGCAGGACACTACTACCAGAAGTACTGGTCCATATGATTTTCGAAAGTGACCTTCTGAGATATAACTTATATGCTAATATCATAGTTGCCCCCTTACATGTAATCCTTGACACAACAAGTGTAGTTAAGTCTACTAAGAATGCCTTCTAAAAGACAGGATAAAATCCTTATGTTTGGTGCAAGGTTTACGTACCGGTCCGATAGCATACTGGTATGTGGACCGTCTGCTATCGAGCGGAACACTTAATATCGCCCTGTATCGGATGGTAACGGTCAAAATTTCGACCATCACCACCCGGCATAGCTCGGTAACAGCCGATTTCATTCGTTACCGCTCGGCACAGCTCGATAACGGTCGATTTCAATCGTTACCGATCTGTAACAATGCTCCAACGGTCATAATAGTCGTTGGAGCACTTTCTCATGGGTTTTTAAACTCATCTTCTCCCTATTTCACTCCATTTCACTCTCACACTCTTTTAAACTATCTCAAAATCATTTTTTCTCACATTGACACTCTCCTAAAATCTACAAAACAACGATTTGTGAATTGACAATTCAAATGATTTTTCTGTAGATATTTAAATATTTACAGAAGAACAATCCGTAACGAACAGAAATACGAACCTTACACAATACTATTCCTCAAAGTCCGAAAAATATATGTGATTTTTTTCTTACCTACTTTACATTGGTTTTGCTAAACTTATACTATTACTATATTTATTTCTAACTTAAAAACCCTATCCTAACTTTTCTTTTATTTTCATATATTTTCGAATGATTTTACGTCTAAATTAGATGTACCGCTCAGTACACAGTACCGTACCATATCAAACTCGGTACACAGTACCATACCGTATCAAGCGAAGCTCAAAACTCTAGTATGGTACGAAATTTCAATCCTTGGTTTGGTGCATGACTAGCCCCCCACACACACATATATATAAACCCAAAAAAGAGCTATCATGTGTAGCGGTACAATGGGGACCTATTGCATGCAGAATCGAATCTTGGTGCATGACAATTACTACCCACAATAAGATTAGCAAGATCCTGATCAAGATTGGAGAATATTGTCTGGAACAACAGAATAAGGCATGGAATGGACCCAAATAAATCAAAGATCAGTGCTGTTTGAAAATTGACACTAGCTAATCCTAACTTTCTGATTGATAGAAAATGGTTGTAAATCCTGACCAGAACTTGAAAATACTAGGAACTTGGCAACAAATAGACCATCTGGAACATCTGATTGATAGAAAATGGTTGTAAATCCTGACCAGAACTTGAAAATACTAGGATCTTGGCAACAAATAGACCATCTGGAACATATTGAAAGCTAGTCAGGATTAGCCGAGAATCAACTGGATCATTTAGGAAGAAAATTGAATTAGATACAGTTTCGATCACTTGAAATTAATTGTCATGGTCAGATAAAGTATAGAAAGGCAACATGAGCAACTTGCGCGAGCACAGATTTAATGGATAATTTGACTTGATATAAAGTATGACGTATACTTAGGGGTAAGGTTGTGTACATAGACCCTGCATTGGCAGGTGTATGATGTACCTATGTCCTAAACAACGTCAACCTAAGACTGCAAAATCAATTAACCAACTCAAGTAAGCTTTTCAGAATGGACAAAATGTTTCTATTACATTTCTTTCAAGAGATACATGTGTAACAAAAAAAATTGAGCCTCCTGACCAGATTAAATCTTTAGATCTCATTCAAAATATTGGAGAATCATGTACTTCAAAAGACTCGAATGGCCTAGAATGACCATCTACTGCTAAGTGGCAAAGATACTCACAGAAGTAGTATTTCAAGTGATGCATTTGGCCAAAATTAGAAGTGCCACGACTTGCAAAAAAAAAAGTAACAAGAAGAAAAATAACAGACTTACTTTCTTCTTTAACCGGCTTTTTCTGGCAGCTTCCCTGTTTTGAGCAAGTCTACGAAGTGTCTGCAAAATAATATAATTTGTTATAATCAAGCTGCATTCTATTGCAAGAGATGTACTTAATGGCCTACAATTAGCTGTAATACTGCAGAAGATTTATTGCAGATGCGAGGCAATGCTATTAAAACCCTACCTTGATATCTGATTTATCCTTTGATTTGTCACTTGAATCAGAAGCTGCAACATCTGCAACTTGCCTTTCTTCAAACTAGACAAATAGAAAAGCATCTGATATCAATGAACTGATCATAAGTTAAGGCTCAGATCAAATCTAATCTCTCCACAATGTTACAAGGAAGATGAGGGATCCCCAAGGTTGATACTGAAATAGAACAAACAGATATAATTCTGAAGTGCGATCAACATAAAGCATTGTTGGGATTAGCAACAATCTTCTTTTTATAGAACAAGAAGATAAAGAATTGTTGGGATTAGCAACTATTTTACAATTCCTGAAGCCAGTGTCCTGGGAGGGCAAGGAATCCTATTACAAAAAGGAGTCCTAAGAAAACCCTGGAAATTAGAGTTTGGTTCTTCTATAAATATCATATGTATCTCTAAGGTTTGATAGGAGAGAGCCAGAAGTGAGAAATACTTTGAGTACTTCTAAGTTCTAAGTTTCTTTCTAAGGTGTCGAGAAGATACTCTAAGGTTTCTAGAAAGGGTGAGAGAAAAAAGTATAAATTCCTCGATGTTTATATGAGAGGGTGTATAAAGAGATTGTGCCTGAGTGGAGATAACTCAAAGGTGGATCTCACATGGTGAAGAACTTGGTTTCCTCCATGGATGTAGGCGGGATTTGCCAAACCATATTAATCTTGTGTCTATTTACTAATATGTTTTTTATTTATTGATCTCTAGGTTTATTCTTTTGGTTTCCATTTTTTCCTCCCTCCCAACAAGAATAATAGATAAGAATACCATGGAAGACAAGACTCAACAATGAAGAATGTCATAATAATGATAACTAAAGATAACAGTTGGAAGTATGAGAACTCATCCCCAGAGACATGTACTTTTATATCAGCAAATTTATTGCTTCAGTCACGAAACGGAACATAAAAACCAATAGAAAGAAAAACCAAGGAAATCCACAACCGATTGAACAATAAACTAAGCTATGCAAGTCATGCAATGCATAAAGTTACAATTAAGGAAATATACTAAACACAGAGCAATACCTTGTATATAGCTTAGGGGCTGTCCATTATAATCATCACTGCAATAGCATTTCTGATTATAAAATTCAGAAAGTGCTGGTGCAGTGATGTTTATAGATTATTATAAATTTATAATCATCACTGCAATAGCATTTTCTGAATTTTATAACCGAGTGCTGGTGCAGTGATGTTTATAGATTATTACAATCATCACTGCAATAGCATTTTTTTTTTATAATCATTTGTTTCTCAGGCTGACTATCCTGGAATACTGAAGGATGTGCGATTTCTAATACTCCATATAGCTGAAATCATATCAGCTTTTGTTTTATATCTGTATAGATCCACTCTCCTAGTGTCATAGTCAAAAAGATCACATGAAATGTTGTTGCTAGAGCCAGGCAAATGCTGGAACCAACTTAAGTGGGACATGACTATAACATTACAAACCTATCCTTTAAAAAACTGGAATATCATGATTTGCATCTGGACCATAGCCTTAAATGTTCCACATTCTAAGTATGGTGATTTAACTCAGGTTTTGCATGACATATCATACAACAGTCATAGTCAGACTTCTATGGGTGGCATATGCAGTCCCCTCAATTTCCTTGAAAGGCTTATCCTTGGTAACCCACAGAAACAGGCTATCATGGAGTTCAACTAGACATGCACACTTTACACATGGAAAATATTTTTTCATATCAATGCACTAATAAAAAACAATGAACTAAACCATGGGTTCCAGATAAGCTTTCAGCTCTAATATGCCTATATCATGGTTAAAAAAATAGAATATCTTAGAAATGCTTTTTTTCTTATTATTACTAATTTCCATTGTGGAACAACTTAAACATGACTGAACCTGAGCCCAACCATACCAGGACTTAAGTGCCATAGGGTCAAATCTAGAAGACAATATGCTTAAATGTCACACATTCATGAGTCACATTCAATATTCCACTTGGTAGAAGCTAGAGATCATCTCAATTTTGTGAACTAAATAGGTGTACAAGTGTTTTCAAGCATTTTAATTCCACTAAGTGGCAGCTTAGTGGAATGATAGGCTGTGCCATTTGACAGCACCGCAAAGTATTCAGCGCTTGAATTCGACAACTTGCTGAATTAATCCATGTTGTTGAAACTTACATCCTTGAGTGCAACAACTATTTATCATCGATCACGCTAGGATGTATCAATACACCCTCAGTACATACAGGACCCCATATGAGTATTTGGGAGGACCAGTATAGTATTCTTGAATTGATATCATTATCATCAATCTGTCACAGTGTAGCAGTCCATGGAGATCAGAGTCGTATATGAGGTAGATAAAGTATAAACCACAAAAGATTAGGTTCCCAGCAAAATGATAAGAATATCGAAGTGCTAAACAGTAAACACCATATGAGTAACAGTGCTGAAGAAAAAAGACTACCGTCTGGTACTTTTCATCAGTGTCGACATCGGTTGATGTATCAGTCCAAGGACTAGTATCTGCCATGGTAGATTCTCCCCAGTTCTCAATGTGAGCACTGGATGACGACAACAGAGTATGTTGATGTGCCTTCTGAATTGTCACTGCCAAAGTCCCAGCTCTTTTTGCTAGCAAAGTCATCCCAGATGAAGCAACAAGCTGCAATCAGATAAAGGATCAATTGTAGCTGAAATTCTTATTAGACCAATAACATTAATAAAGGCACTCCAAAAAAAGTCGTCCTAACTCACACTGTCATAAACACCAAATTGAAGAGGATCAGAGGCAACAGAGAGACCACTTGTTTTAAGATTGAGATCGCCTGACTTTTTATTAGGTAAAGGATCTGTAAAGAAGATTGAGTAATAAGTCTCTGATTATGTTCTCCAAAATATGCAGAGAAATAGATAATAGTAGCTGAAATAACCCAAATTTAGAACTATAAATAGTAAACCCACTTAAAATTTTAAGGAAATTTCCAATGGGCTATTTTGAAAATTATTTATATTTTGATATAAAAAGGGCCACCTAATTACACTAAGGTATTTTGCAATTTAGAATTATTACAAAAAAATGAGGCATAAAAGTGCCACATGTCAAGAATCAAGATAAATGACTGATTAAAAGTTACACACTTGTGCTTAGATCCGTAGCTTCCTCTATTTGAAATATATTAGACTTTTCAAGTGTCCGAACATTAGAACCTCGAGAAGTATGCAGAATATTTCCTTCAGTGGTACTGAGGCAACAAGAAACATTCAGTTACAAACAGATGGAAGAGAAAATGTTGTCAGTTAAAATATAGTTGTAGCAGATTTAGCATTACACAGTTACCATATGGAAAACATACTAATATGAAACCACTAAATTTAAAGTAATTAAGTACCACAAAACATAATTATATGATTGGTCTTCTTGAATTAGAGAATAAGCTGATATCCTATAATTTGGTATGACAACAAAGACAATCTAAACTGATAACCACAATGTCAAAGCACTCCATCAACAATGCATTGAAGTCCAGACAAAAACTTCAGCTGTTGCAAGCGTTACAACTTGTACAACAGTTGAACAGGCTCTAACACCTATTTTTCCCTGTTATGCATATTTTTAGTGTTTACTGAAGACCTAAACAATTTCTAGGATCAATCTAGAGAAGTGTAAACCAAGGTATGCAATTTCGAATATTACCGCCCGGTACGGACAGTACGTACCGGTCCATTAGTTTACCGGTACACGGACCGCCCGTTACCAGACGGAAATATATATATATATATATATATATATATATATATATATATATATATATACATATACATATACATACACATATATACATATACATACACATATATATATATATATATATATATATACATACATATATATACATACATATATATATATATACATATCTATATATACATACATATATATATACATATACATATATATATATATATATATATAAGGCGACGTTGCCGAAATATATATATATGTATGTATATATATATATATATATACCGAGCGGTATACCGAACGATATACCGAACGATATACCACTCGGTATACAGTTTCGTACCGTACCGAACGAATTGTCACGGACAAACTTCTAAACAGGATGTTTGATGTAATGGTTATGTATGTCCGTGTTTTTTGGTATGTTCATGCTTTGCACAGCATATAGAGGGACGGTCGAAGGCTTAATAGTCCTATTTTAGTTGGGTTGATGACCGCTTTAGGCTTGTAAATAAAGGTTGTGTAATGTTGACACTTGTAAGAGATTTTCGGTCTGTAATGAACCATTTTAACTCTTTGTTGTGCAACTGTTCAGAGCTTGTAAAGTCTGTTTGCAATTTGCATTGTCTATGAAGTGTTTTCGGAAATGTTTGTTTGTGGATCCCGAATGAGACGTTTTCTCTAACCCGTTTTCTCTTTTGTGGGTCCTAAGGGACCATAGGAGGCTTCGGGGAGGCTGACCTTTGTGGACGGACACGCAAGGGTGCCGCACAACTTAGGCAAAACCAGCTAAGTCCGTGACAGAACATCGAAACTCCGGTATGGTACGAAATTGCATACCTTAGTGTAAACAACAAGTTGAAGACTTCAGTCTACTAGAAACTAACATGTCAGCATTAAATTAGTAGCTAGTCACATTTTATAGCTCTCTTAGAGGTTGTTTGGCAGTAGGAAACATGACAAAGGAGAACCAGATGAAGATATAATAAAACCTAAAATCTTGTGCCACTAGAAATCGATTCAACCACCAAAGCAACTCTTTTGCCTATGACAATTGACATTCAAGAGCAACCAAAAAGTATGATAGCGCAGCAAATTCCTGAGCATCATGTAAGTTTTCTGCAGACTGATTTTTGGGGAACGACAAAAAACTACTATGAGAAAAGAACATGAAGCTTCCAGAAGTGATATTGGGTCAAATTGCTCACTCCAACATGCATCTAGATCACTTTTGAGGTTTTCGCCATGGTTTCCATCCTAGATTACGCTATATCAGTCAAAGATAACAACATTTCAAAGCAAATTTGATGTCTTTTCTGTTGTTTATACAGTAAAAAATGATGATTACCATGCGTGTCAAGAGCATCCTAATTTTGACAATTTTGAACTTGCCAGAATGACTCCCAAGTTTTTCTTTTCTTTCTTTTTTGATCAAACCATGATTGTTGACTTTGTATTTTTTTTTCCTCATCATCAAGTGTTAGACATACATCTATTAAAACCTTCTCGTTAGTCAACTACATGCACAAATGTACCAAACTACTCACTCCAACTCTTCGTGGTGCAAGAACATATTTTATTTCCCAAACGCAAGGACATCAACAATACATTAAGAGCACTAAACTGTTATTCTCAACAGTACAAACGCTCATCATAGCCAGGGAAAATATATGACGTCATGTCAAAGTTACTATGTAGAGGATTGATTAGATTTTTCATATCCCTTGATGAGATACTAATTGCTTGATTGGATACTGATTAGATTGTCTTTGACCCTATAAATAGGGTTCCAATGACAAGAATAAAACATGCAAGTTTTCTTCCTCTTTCATTAAAAATAATAATAATAATAATGTTAGAAGAGAAAGAGAAGAAGAAAACTTTTATGATCATATGACACCCCTTTTATATATAACTTTAACAATAGCCCTGGAATTCGAGTTCCCCAAACAGATGCTTAATTAGTTCCATATGTAATAGATATCATCAAAGAAACAGAAAGATCGCTTCCTTTTAGTCTCGAGAAAGGCAGCACAAATTAGAGCATGAAAAATGAAAACAAGCGATGCAGAGAGCTAAATCATTCAAACCAAGCTTCGCATACGCTGGGTGAGCCACGGTGAGCGAGGAAACGAAGCTCGGCATTCCGACAACGGCCTCCTTAGCATCTTGTGGGCCACCTCCACCCTTCCTACTACTCCCCATCCACTACACCGCCAGCATCTCCACCGCCACCAGAAGAACAACAAACGACCGAATAAACCCTTCAAATCATTAACGAAAAGAACTCCACGACAAGGTAGGGATGCCCGGGAGCAAATTCAACCAGGAGAGCAAAGGTCCAACGAGAACCAATCCGAGTTCGATAAGGCTCCGAATCCGAGGGGTTTGTCCTCGCTCTCGCACGCGCACAGGGGGATCAAGACTCGTCCGTTTGAGGGGACGGGGAGGGGGTCGCCTCCTTTCCCTCTCTTTGGACTAACTGAAGTACTGAACTCCATCGCCTTCTATATATATATATATATATATATATATATATATATATGAATCTTTGTGAAAATTATCACAATCCGACCCCCGTTGATCGATCGATCAACTGTTCGGCCATAAATTTTATAACTTCTTATAAAAATTAATTGCAATTACTATGTTGAAAAAATTATATTTAAGGTTTTGAAATATCATTCGATGTATTTTTATATTCAAAGTATTAATATGATGATGTATTAGACTTATTTATCAAAAAAAATATAGGAAAACTTTATTTGACATAATGTTAACTAACTTGAGTGATAAATCATCGGGAGGTTGGAATTGTTCGAATTTTGTTTTTTGGAATCATATGAGTTTCAAAAGATATTTTTGAGGATAAAAAAGATTTGATCGACTTACGAATCTTTTGTTCTCATACTCAATGGGACTAAATAGTTTTATCAGAATCAATAAAATAATTTTAAATTATGTATAATGAGATTTTAAGTTTTGTATCGACTAATATTTAAAATATTTTTACTGCTGTCCAGTCTTGAAGTGACTCCTGTTTTCCACCTCCAATCACAAGAAAGATGAGAAGGCAACGCATAAGGCATGAGGTGCATAAAGTATTGGTTTCTCGTAGATAAGAGTTCAACAGTGACAGTGATGACTAGGGTTTTTGTCTGGGGAAGTTTGGGTTCCTTTTTCCTCTCTTTTGTTGGGTGGATGAGTCAGCTGGTGATGTTCCACCGATTCTTTTAAAGGGAAGTCGTTTTCCCAATCAATATCTGGTATTTGTTTATTACCCTCCATATCATTTCATATTATTATCTATTAGGTTACAACATACTTAGATAGGAAGGCACCGCAACTCGTATCATCTAGTGCTTGTATCATTGGCCATTTATTTGGGTGAACCGGTCCTCGTTGGATTTGAACAAAGAGTTCTCGGTCATCTTTGACCAGAAGGATAAGGATGTGATGATAGGATATCAACGAGATTAATACTTTGATTATTGATAGTAAGGCGTAAGGATTGAATATCGCATTCATTATTTATTATTTATAAAATAAAAAGTTAGAATCAACTTATGTATCATGATATATATAATTAATTGGATTATTATGCACTGATTAGTGCTTATGATTTTGACATGTATCGACAATGCTCGATATACTTTTTTTTATTATTCTTTATGAAATTGAGAGGTACAAATCCATATTTGATTCGGTGTTTTGGCACTTAGGGTGTATTTAAAATGTCATTATATATGTTTTGTATTTTGTTTAACTTAGTAATTTGTTCATTCTTCCTATTTATGGGTCCAATAATAAGGTTAATAATATTTATATTGACTATAATGTGGTTGGAGTTGATCCTAGGAATGGATTTGTCTATCTTAATACTTTCAAGTTTATCAAAATATAATTATCACAACAATTCGACTAAAATAATATGTATAAGGAGTAAGTAGGAATTCGATTCGTTATTTTTAAATCAATATCTTTATCAATAAGACTAGTTAAGAATCTTAGAAATTTATCAAATATGATTTTAAATTATCATCCTGGATCTAATATATCATCATCAGATCAATATTATTATTATTATTATTATTATTATTATTATTATTATTATTATATATATATATATATAATACAAAACAAATCTTGATGGTAAATTCTATTTATAAATTTATTAGAAGTTCATGATAATTGTGGATTTGTTAACAATTTAATTAGTGAATACAATAATTTTGAATATAATGAAACATGGATTAGGTGTTTGTTAGGTAATGATGTTACATGGTGTTGTTTGTCAAAATTTGATCAAAGGGAGCCAATTTTTTATTGAAAAGAATTATAAACTAAATCATTTAGATGTTCATATCTCACCTTTAGCTTTCTATTGCTTTGGTTGCCATCCCACCTTCTTCCTTTTATCCATGTCTCTTGTTTCCTTCCCACAGTCTTGCCATTGTTTATAATCAGAAATTGAAGAGTTTACTACTAGAGTCTTCACCGTTCGCATCACTACAAACTAAAAATCAAGGATAGGAGGTAAATCCTCATGCCAATTACAATAAGAAGCAGAAGTCCTAACATAATTAATGAACCAATTTGCTGGATGATTTACCCTCTCCTCTTAGTTGGATTATATATATGGTAGCATAGAGAGAGGAGGCTGGTGAAGACAACAAAGAAAAAAAGGAAGTTATGTTTATTTAGCAATGGGATTGGATTGCTAAAAGTAATGCTTTCATGTCATTCAAGTCAAAGAAATTGACAAAGAGAAAATAGGACTTTGTAAGATGATAATAAATGGATTGAGAAGCATCAGAATATCATAGAACATTTCTAAAGATCCAAATTTAGCTTCATTTAGAACCAATTCAACATGAGAACAATGAAACATAAATTCATTAAAAGAAATACCAATCTACCTCGATCGCATAGGACCAGAGACTTGAGCCTAAGGCCTATTAAAAAGTAATCTACATCATATCTGGGGGGAACAACATCTTTTTTTTTTTCAAGTATGCATTTGTCATTGAAAGTATAATCTCTTTACAAATCCAACTAATAAGGCTTTCATCTGGTGATTGATTGATTTCCCATTTTGTCTTTAAGAGTAATCATGTAGTAATGATCAAGTAATTGAGCTAGGTAATTGTGAAGGTAAAAAAAATACTCTCTATTAATCTTATAAATAGAAAAATAAAAGAACTTTGTGAACAGTATGCAATGGAAACTGAAATATTGGTGCATTAAAACAGATATATAAGTGTACTACAGGAACTGCAAGCAACAATTATAGTCACATTCTTCAAATTGTGACCAATCAATTGTCACCCTCCCCTACTAGAAAACTGAACCTTATCTAATTGTGACATATAACTCAAGCTTGAATAGTTTGCACTATCCTCTTTTGCCTTTTTCTTCGGTCTAAGTTAAACAATTCAAGGGGTAGTTGGCTAGAACTTTAATCATCTTTGACTCTATAGAATGAGTCTTCTAGAAAACTAAGAACAATATTTGCCATCATATTCTAACTATTTGACTCTAATAGAATGAGTCTTCTAGAAAACTAAGAACAATATTTGCCATAATATTCTAACTATTTGACTCTAATAGAATGAGTCTTCTAGAAAACTAAGAACAATATTTGCCATAATATTCTAACTATTTGACTCTAATAGAATGAGTCTTCTAGAAAACTAAGAACAATATTTGCCACAATATTCTAACTATTTGGGGACTACCACAAATATTTATCCATCATCAAGCTTCCAAAAGTAATGTCATTGGTCAAGCTAAGAACAATCAAATATCTTTCTTATTGTTTCAAATAAAATATGTCCGACACTGACTTCATTATTTATCTAGAACACTAATAGATCTCCCTTGGAGATGTCCAATCATCTTAAAAAGTATTTTTCCTCGTCTTAAATAATTTTCACCCAAATCTATCTACTTTACAAATGTTTAGTTCCAAAACATCTCTGCCAATCAATATCCATTTGTTCTCAAGGATTTGAAGAACATAAATCCAAAATGAATGCACAGAATCTATGCTTTGACAACTGGATGAAACGGCCACTGGGAACATGTGATAATAAATCATTAAAGCAATACAAAAGAGTAGAATTCTAGCAATTCAAAATTTCAAACAACCTTTGGCTGGATCTGCTCAAAATCAAACACCTCAAACATCAAACGCCTGACATCTGGTTTACCATAGACAGTGTATGCAAGACCATGTATCGCTTGCTGTACTGCAGTTGTGGCCGGATTTCTCAGCCTTCGGTTATGCTCGTACTTGTCTTGTGCTAGCTCACCATAGATGATGAAATGGTGAAGATGCTTATCCCTCAAGTATCGGCCACAGAATTTGTTCATCAGCGTTCGCCGGTGCTTCTCTTGTAACCATCTACCAGGGGCATCAAGATGCTTCATTAGTAATCTCTCAGCCATCACAAGATCCTGCAGAGGATAAAACGTAAACAGGTGTTTATACAAGATAGATCTTGTTGTACAACTTCAATTCAACAATTGAGTGAGTGTCATATTTTCTATTTAGAGAAAATATCATTTTTCAGTATTCCAAAATATCAGACTCAAGGGAAAGAAAACCCTATATGAATAGCTTCATTCTGAAAGTTGTACCTGAATCTTCTGGCCAACGTATTCCAACCGCTCAAAACAAAATCGAGGATGCTCAAACTTGTATTTAGAAGGATGTAGAAAGCACAACTGCCATATGAATTTGCATTAGATTTCACTGACAAAGAATAGCAGACCAATACAAGCTGAATCATGTTTACGCTGGCAGAAACAAAAGTAGTTTATGAAACTTAAAAGGAAATACATTATGATGTTATTAGCGTAAACTAGGGAAAGAAAAATCTTCATTATCATTGATAGAAGGAAACAATGAGCATAACTGATGAAATCTTAAGATATCAGAAAGCAAAGAGATAAATCTTTCATCGATAAACAAGAATGTGACCCTTCTCAGGATTTGCAAATTAGCAATCTTTTATCTGGTCAAATTTCTATCTATATCTTTGTCAGCATTAGCTTAACTTCCTCAAATTCTTTTACATATTTTTTATATGCCCATTGCTTGCATGCAATTTTTGTGTCCATGAATAATGAACAAAATTGACCTTACTGGTTCTTCACCTAACCTTTTTGAACCAGCTATTTGAAATTTATTCAACTCCAGTTGGTTTGCACGTATCATTACAATTTTTCAACATATGAGATTTTAGAGTCTCCATTTTTGTCTCTTGTATCCCTTACAAGTCTTCCCAATTTGTTCTTTCTTTTCCCTTACTTTACATCATTATCTGAAGGGTTAGTTCATGAACCAACCAAAACTATTGCAGCTGACCAGTGATTCAATTTACCCCTAAGCTTTCTCTATGGATGGACATTAGATGATCACTAACTTTCCACAGCAATGACTAATGAAGCGCTCAAGCATTCAATG